AGTACTACTGCTGTAGTAGAAAAATAATTAATTATTTTTACTATATATAAAATAAACACAAGAAATACAAGGTATTATAGCAGAAAGAGAACAATAACGAAAAAAAATTTCAATAAATATTTACAAAAATTACAGAAAGCGTTTTACGGCCGTAGTAGAAAAATTGTGCAAAACTTTTAAAAACACTTAAGATAACTACAAAAGGTAACGCAGGGTTTAAAAGGTAAATTCTATACTTTTAAAAAGTTTTGTTACAAGAAAAATAACTTTTTTTACTTTGTTATATTTATAAAGAATTTTTTGTTATAGATAATAATGATACTATAAAAAAAACGTGGCAAAAGTAAAGTTTTCTATTCCAGAAATACATATAAGCTAATTACATGAAAGTGCTGGTTTATAAAAATAATTTTAAAAAACTTTTTTATACAAGACATATATAAAAAAGCGCTTCTTATAATTTAATACCTAAATACATAAAAGTATTACAACTGTACTAAAAGAAATTTAAACTACAACTAATTTTTACTTTTAATAAAAAATTTTACTTTATTGTACGATAAACAAAATAAATAAAGAAAAACCTTTATTAAAATATTTTTTTTGTAAAATAATTTTATTGTTACTTCAAATTTAAAGTTATATTTAACGCATATATAAAAATAATATATAAGAAAAATATTACAAATTTTGTATATTATAAGCTACAAAAAATATTATAGGCGCGAGTGAAACCAAGAAAAAAAATTGGCCAGTAAGTTAACTGTATAAATATTGGTATCGCTAAAGAATTAATGAATCTCTATCTAAACACTAAATTTATTAATGAAACTTTAAAGTTACCAAAAACATGTGCCTCAACAAATTTAGTTGTTAAATAAATTTTTAAAAAGTATTATATATATTTTTAATTGTAAAATCTCAAATTATTAAAGGTTATAATGAAGGCTTTAACCCAACAAAAATTGTCGTTTTTTGAAAAAGTTGTGATTTTATTTTCTAATTAATAAATCTTAAATTATTAGTATTAACGCTTTTTCTGATTTTTAACCCAAAAAAATGTGCTACCAACAAAAATTATTTATTAGTTTTTATAGAATATTAAAAATTTATCGAATTATAAATATTAAGGTTCTCTATTAAAAGCTTATCAATAAATTTAATGAAAGCACTTTAGTTATTTTTAAGTTCCCTTTTTAAGAATTTATAACCAACAACGCTCGAATACAGCGAAATTAGCGTTAAAAAAAGTTTCTGTAGAGTAAATATTAAAAATTTTTAATATATTACCATAAAATAGTGAATATTTTGTTCATTATAAATACTTTATTATATTTTTCTGAGTTTTTAAAATTTGCAGTGTTTATTACTTATTAACTTTAAATAATCATTAAAATTCACGATATTAAATAAAATTATATATTGATATAATTGTTTAGCCTATTTTAAAGTCTTCTAAAAACTTGTGTTTTAATTGGATGTTGCTTCTTTATGTAAATTAACATGAACTTTTCACATTAAAATAGATCTTATACTAATTAAAACATAAAGTAACCACCAGACACGGAATAAAAAAATTAAATGTTTTAATACAAAATTAAGTTATATCATATTAAAAATAAGAAAATTTCATAACAAAACAAATTTTTAGGATAAGTTAACTAGTTATAATAAAATTGAGTTAGAAATGTTTACTATAACAATGTTAAAAACCATATTACCTTTCTTTTTAAATAACAATATTAATACATGAAAATATAAAACGATATAACTTTGAATTATACAATAATAATAATGCTAATATGTTATAATCCTGTAAAAACAATAATAATATTGTTAATAAGATTATCTAAATAGTAAAGTGAATATAAAGTTAATTTTATTACTTTTACTGTTAAAAACGTTTTCTTTTTTTGGCTCGTTTGTATGTGTTTTTAAATTTTCAATGCACTTCTTCAGTCTTGATATATTTTCGTACAAACAAGAAATGTGTTGTTCGTAATCTAAATTAAATTATTATAAAATTTATAGATAATTACAAATATATAAAACGAACAATTATATATACTTTTTAGTATTTTTATATTTTGCTTTTACTCAATTAAAAAATTATATATATTCCTTTATAATTATATTAAAAATTTTGATACTTTTACAATATTTATAAATTATATACTTTTTTATATTTTTTTCTTTATTAATTCTACTGTCTTTTGTATATCTTAAAAAAAAATAGCTAACTTCGGCGTTGCTCAAGTAATTGTTGTGAGATTTTTTCGGCGTGACTAACAAACTCTTGAAAAAGTCTGAGAGAAATGCAATCAGAATGATTTTCTGGTTTTAAATTATTATTTCCTCTACTACTATTTTCTTTTACAAGCTTTTTTAAAGAATCATTTAAATTTAAAGTTGAGCTGTGAATTTCTGTAGTGTTCAATTTAGGAAAAAGACGGTGATCATTTTCGGTATTTAAGCAAGCTGGAACCTAATATTTTATATAAAAAGTTTGGTGGCAGCACGTAATAAAAAATCCACTTTTACTTGATTTGATTGTGTACTAATTTGGTTTGAGTTAAGGCGTCTTACTAGAACATTAATCTTTACTTTCTTCCGAATTAGCTGAATATTGCAACAAAAAATATAATAAAATATTATAACGATTAATATAATTGCAATACTTTTAATTTTAAACGTTCAATTTCAAAAAGTAAATTTTGTACAACTTCTCTTTCTTTGTAAGCTCTTAAATCTGTGCTATTTAATTCATCTTTATGCAAGTCGACTGAATTTTTACACTTAACTTGCCCCTTTAAATATTTTTTTAAAGTCATATATAGAAATTAATAAGCTAAACAAATAAAGTTATTAGAGTAAATATATTATTTAGACACCAAGCCAGATTTAAATTGTTAGCAAAAGTTTTAAAGGTAACTGTAAAATTTGAACTTAATTAAGTGGAGTAAGAATAGCAAATTTGTAAATCTTTATTATTGATGAAACAAATAAATATAAAAAATTAAATAATTTTTTTTTGCAACTACTAAAAGCTGCTAAAAAAGACTTTAGTAACAATGGTTAAAAATTAATTCTAAAGTTATTACTTTTAAAAAAAATTTATATTAACACAATTATTATAGCGGAGAGGACTACAGTAATGTTAAAAAAAAGTTAACTTATTACTTTTATTATATGATAAGTCCACAGTGGTAAGAATTAAAATTATTGCTAAGTTATTACTTTTATAAATATATAATTATTTACGGCTATTATAATTTACTGAGAAGACTACAGTAATAATAAGAATGTAAATATTATTTTAAAGCTAAGACTAAAGAAATATTGGCTGAAATATTTATAAACTACTATATATTTATCTACTAGTTTTATATACTGAGGTGACTACAATAACAATGGTTATAAGAAGTTATTTTAAATTTATTATTTAAAAAATATGTATTTATTAAAACTCCTATTATATACTGGGAAGACTACAGTAATAACATGGTTTAAATTTCTAAAATTATTACTTTATAATAATATTTTTAACGAATGTTTACTAAAAAAATACTACAGTAATAAAGGTTTAAAAGCAATTCTAAAGATATTATTTTTATAAATATATTTACTATTAAATTACCATATAAAAAAGTTAACCCACAAAAATACGCATAACAAATAAAGTTCACTATTTTAAAGCTACACTGTTCAAAGCTAGATACCATCTGTAACCGTCTACGCTTGAATAGCAGTAGGCGTTGGATTATTTCGTTTGCTTAGCAATTGTAATATTAATTACTAACTATTCGTCTTTATTTGAAAAAACTTTATAGGCAATCATTTTAGATTGTCCACGCTCTCCTCAAAAATATTTACTTTGTATATTTAAGTATGCAATAAATATTTATTAAGTTTTAAAAATCAAGAATATAATGTAAACGTTGAGGACAACTGCCTATGAGTCTAGATTATACTAGAACGTAGTATATTAGCACATACTAAGTCTTGCTGAAACATTTTTTTTATCGCTTTTCTTTAAATAAAAACTGATATTTATATCAGTTATATTACCTTTCAGTAGTTTTTTTAACAAAAATATATTTTAGCCTAAAAGTTGAGAGGTATGAGGGTAATCAAAAGTAAGGCTTTATACCGAATAGCTTAATCTTAACAAAAAGAAGTAACTTTTTTTAATTTTTATAATTATCCTTAGTTTACTTGTTATTTATTCTGTTCCATTATCATCTATCCTTCTTAAAATTCAAAACCTTACTCGTGTTTTGTATAAGTTTCTCTATATACGGAGGAAACTCTATTTACAGATTACTTAAATAATGATCTTTAAAGGTTTTAAATTCGCAAATGTGCTTCTTTTTATAAGCAAACTTAAGACTTCTTTTAAATTTGATCTTCAGATTATATTATAAAAGTATAAAAATAATCCTGTAAGAGTTTACCTCTGAAAGAAAAACTTGTTTTAATTCAGCCATTATGCAATTCAGTTAAAAAAAGATACTTCTCAGTTACATTTATCGGTCTTTGTTAAAAGAGCTCATATAACAAACAATAATTTAATAACTTTTAAATCTTAATCTTTTTAAATTTTAAAAAAAGTTGTAACATAAACTATTATTCCGAAGTTTAAAGGCATAAACGAGGGAGAAAGGAATTCTCACCTATTAATAAAATTTTAAAATACTCGCTATTTTAGGTGCGGTGAAAGATTTTAAGATGAGGTAATAACACAGTTTTTAAACTTGAATCGAAGTTATTGCTTATTTTATAGTGTGGTAGATGATAATAAAATAGAATTGCACATAAAATTTTGAACTTAAATAAAATTAAAAAATTTTTCTAGTGTGTCAATGTTTTGTATCGAATCAGAAATATTGTTTAAATTTGTGTGTGCAAACGACAATGAAAAAATGCACATACTTGTCAAACTTATAATAAAAATTTTAAATTATAAAGTTTATTAGATAAAAAGATCCAGCGACAAGTTGCTAAACTGGAGTTTCTACTAATTTTTCGCAAAGAGCCAGGGCGAGTTCCCTCGTACCAGCGGCAACTACACGCTTTGCAAGAAAATCTACGGGGCCTGCATAAAAAAAGTTTTAAGAAATTAGCTATAAAATATATAGGTAGCGCAGGCCTATACCACCAGTAACATCCATAACAACGCCATTCGCTTCTTTTACAATAATTGAAGCAGCGGCATAATCCCAAATGTTTAAGCCAAAAATCCAACTTCCTTTATATAATGATAATAAGGCTAAAATTAGAAAAATATTAGGTTTTTTTCACCATCCACGCTCCCTTCAGCTACTAGACACAAATCTAAAGCGGAAGAGCCAGTAGAGCGAATGCCGTGGCACGGATGCATAAGAAAATTAGTGAAGTTTGCTTGGGCACAAGCTAGATGATCCCGCCTTCGATCGTAGCTAAGCAGCGCTAACTCAGCAGTGTTAAAAAAATTGACTGGTAAACTCACCTCCACTCAGAAACTAGAAGCGATCTCGACAAATCGGTGCAACTACTCGCCTGAAGGCGCGTCGAATTAAGGTAAGCTCCACTGCCTTAGAAAAGTACTTAACTAAATGCAACTACCAGTATAAAAATTAGAATTATACCATTAAAAACACTTTTTACTTACAAAAAAATTTATATAAAAATTTTAATTATATAAAAAAAAGTAAAAAAATAAATAATTTTTATAGTTTTGTGTAAAACAATGGCTCTTAAAAATCTCTTACGTGCTTCCAAAAAAAAGGTATAACATAATAAAAAACACTTTTTATAATATGAAACCTTCTTTAGCAAAGTATAGATGTTTAAGTATAGGATTATAAACAACTCCCACTTTAATTTCTCGTTTAACGGAAAAACCGATACAAACGGCTACGAAAGGAAATCTAAATTTTATATTTATATAATTAATAACAGAAGTTTATATTATATAAACCCGTGAACAAAATTAGTAGTGCCGTCTATGGGATCGATTATCCAAGTAGGAGAATCAGTTAAAGTTATTTCAGTGCCAAGCGCTGTTGATTCTTCTCCTATAATACTAAAATCTCGTAAGAATGAATGCTACTAAGTTTCTAAAGCTTAACTGATGTTCTGGATAAGAATTTTTAATCTTTGTTACAATAAGCTCTTCACAAGCTTTATCGGTCGCGGTAGCAAAATCGCTGGAGGAAGATTTCATCTGGGCTATTTTTGCTTGGTCATTTGCCTTTAAAATAAGGTTTCCTGCTTCCCTTAAAAGAGGTACACATAATAATAATCAAAAGCAATAATTTAATAATTAGCAAAATATACTCAGCGCACTGGATAGAAAGACTAAGACAATCACTCAAACTTAATTGCCTCATTCTAACAAAAAAAAGTTTCAAGCGGATCACACATCATCTGGACGTTAATCGTCACATGAATACTAAAATGTACAGCACGTGCGCTCCCAACGCCCACTACTATTTGAGTTGTCTGCACTTAAATTTTTAACAGCTTGCTCGTTTGCTTATTACCTGTTTTACTATATCTTTAAAGACCTTTATATTTTTATAAAACTTACTTTCTTAGAAGTGTAAGATAATCACAAACTTAATTCACTAAGTATTAAAAAGCTAAACTTTCCGTTCTCCTATATGAAATTATAAATATTGCGCTAATATACAGTATAATAAACGAAAATCTTTGCTGTATACATCGAACACGTGATTAAGAACTTGTCGCATTAGGGATTTATTTGCCTTATTTAGAAAACAGTACGCACCCTTTTAGAAAACACGCTCTATGAAATATGAAGAAAATTGTTCTACAAAATATTTGTAGTTAAAAAATTATACACAATCCAAAAGAAAATAGTAGTTCAACGATCTAAGCTTTATTTAATTTAAATATATACTTTCAATTGTACTTTCGATGCTATTAAAGTTTTTGTGCTCGTCATTAAATAATTTATGAACTACTAATAAGAAATTGTTCTTTTCGGATTCCGTAGCACATCCCTTATTGTTTTTAGGCTCTGAATTAAAATGCCCAAACTCTAAACGTTTTCGACGTCGTTCCATGATTTCCATTTTCCCAGACTTGACCATATCGCCCATAATAAGACCCAATTCCAATGGAATTAGCTCTGGAAATAATATAAGAATAGGAAGAAATGCAATATTAAACATTTCAAGTCCCAAAAAAGGTTCTGAACTAAGTCTGTTGGACTTAATCATAGCTGGCAGCTCCTTGAGGCTCTTTTCCCGGATTCCATTAGTTAATGTTTTAACCATATCCTTACTTGGTAAAGGCTCTCCAAAGTGTAATATGTTATTAGTATTTGCATTTTTCTTAGTAGAGTACTTTATTAAGTCATATTCGAGATCATTAGAATACCAGTTGCCTTCAATATCACTAGACAAAAAATGTGAAAGTAATTTCTTCCTTTTAGTGTCGTTTTTAGTTACATTAATAAACCATTTACTTAACTCAGACATATCTTTAAACTCGTGAAAAGGGGAGGAGTTACCGTTAAAGTAAAGGATAACATGGTTACTAGATGTACTTCTTATACAAAAGATATCTATAGCGAAGACTTCTTTGCTAGCATGGAATATTGAAATAAAGTTTCTGGGTTTACTTTTATATAGACCCAAAGGATAAACTTGAACGTCTTTAGATCCTAAAATAGCACTTATTGCTATTATCGCTCCTTTTTCGCTTAAACTTTTTTCTTTTACTTGATGGATTACAGCCTCTAAAGCAGCCTGACCCATGTAATGAGTATAATTTTCTGAATTTTTGTTCCAGTATTCCTGCATATATTCTAGATATACGGCGTGGAAGTCGATGGCATCAGCTATTGCTTTTATTCTCTCTACAGGGACATCCCACCAAGTTTTTGGTGTGAATTTTTTGGCATTGTTGGCTTTAAAAATTCCGGAATAAACGTAAATAGGGCTGTACGAAGAAATATTCTTACATGACGACAGGTCTGCAGATGACATTCTATCGAAATCAAAAGAAGGGGCCATATTTTTCATATAATTTAGGTGCATAAGAGGAAATGTAGGTCTACAAGCCCTATTTAACGCCTCAAATAAGTGGTGTCTGTTCCAACTATTTCTTAAAAGGCAGTGGGCTAAGTTTTCTGAATATGTAGTAATGTGTTTGAAAGATAGTTCAAAGGGGTCCGTTGCATAAATAATGCTCGAAAACTTGGCTTCGTAAGCGTCTATAGTTATATTTAGGAATTGTTTGATTTTTCCTTCTAATACATCCTTTGCTTTATCCAGTGGAGTCTTAAATAATTCAAATAGTGATACTATATATATAAAATACTTTAAAAACGACAATCCTGGTAATTGAATAACTTACCTCCCTGAGTACAAAGTAAAATACAGAGTGCTGCCTTCAGGTGTAATTTTAAGTGCTCTAAGTTAAATAAATAAGTAATGGTGCTAAAGCTAAAGATATTTTACAAGGTACTCATAGTGATGGTCTCCTGAAATAATTTATGGCTCGAGAAGTAAGCACTTTATGGGAGTGGCTAAACTCTTAAATACTACTTTATCTAAAAAAAATTTAATTGCATAATTATTAACTAACTTTATTCTATATATTTATAGGTGTGGCGGGAAAGTCTTTTATTAACTCTTGGCTGAAAAACAACTTTATTAATGATAACGGTTCAATAGTTATTAAAAATTCTTTAAGAGTAGCAAATTATAGTATGTGATAAAGTTTTAACTAGTATAGTATAGTGTTAAAGATTTATCTAATAAATTAGACACGTAATTCTTAACTTACTTAGTAATAACTAATTATGATTAAAAATAGGTTTTTTATAAGTGCATACCCTTTTTACTCTTCTAGATTTAAGATATGAACGAAACTTGGTAAAAGAACAAGAACATGCCACTTACCTTTGTATGAGCTACTCAGATCGTTGTACAGATTTTTACTTGGTTAAGATTTAAAAATAAGGTACTGCTGTGCACCTCAAATAAAATCACTTTTTAAATAGTTCATAACTTTGTGTATTTATGTCATAATAATAAAAACTAAAACATTGGGCAATGGAGAACCAAAATGGGTATAGTTAAATTTTTTAAATTGAAAAGGACCACCAAGGTATGTGCATATCTTAATATATTTATAATACATTATCGAAATGTCGAAAACATTTTCCTATTTAAACATTTGCAAAATCTACGTAATTATCTATTAGTGAATTTGGTTTGCCATTTTTTTGGGGCTGAGTACTGGCTTATACGATCGGTACGATAAACGCTCTTAACCAATTTTATTATCTTTATTTTTCCTCTTCAAGTTGAATTCACGGAAGCAGCCAATATTATTCTTCCTGAACGTGGATATTAGGATTTATGCCTGCCCGAAAAAAAAATATATTGGGGCTCGAACCTTCGCTATTTGGTCACGTTTGTGAAAACCAGTCTCCACGTGATACAAAAATTACAGCAAACTAATCTCTCACCACCCAATTATATTTTCATGTACCATAAACTGATTGAACTTGAAATTTTTATAAAAAGAAGGTACGAGCTTAGTAAATCCCCCTACGACAGACGCTTTTAAACCAAAAGAATTATGGGGTTAAAAGAGATCTTAATTTTTTCAACAAAACCTGGGAATACAAGCTTAAAAAAATTTAAAAACCTACATTTCTTTAAGGAAATTAGCAAAGGGTTGAAGAACAAAAATAAACCCTACCTAAACGCATGCATAATCCACTAAGTCACTCGTTATACTATGTCAGCGGCTACAATTCTCGCTGATGTGGTCAAAGGGACCTCTCCCAGCAAAGAGCAAGGCGCTTCTTATAACGAAAAAATGCTGTGCATCACATAACACCGTTAACTTATGACATCATCAACCCTTAAGAGCAGTGGTGCTCTCAGGTAAAATACCGGTTCACTACAATTTCTTAGCTGTCTTGGAGTCTAATTACGTGGTAGCGAATATTAAGGCCGCCATCCGGATGCTATGCTCCCCATTGTGAAGCAAAGTACAATTTCTTAGCGCAATGAGTGAAGGCTTTATGTGCTGTGCATTCAGCCGGTTATGACGTATACATCTCTTGCCTAAGTTTACGACTTATTGGAAATAATGTGGTCGCTTCAAGTGCTGTAAAATAAACTTCTACTCCTTTTAACAAACGTGCCGTGGTTTGTGCGTAATGACACTCCACCAAGAACTACAGCTTGAGTCGCTGGCCACAAACTTCAAGAAAGGATAACTGGACACTTTATCGTCTTTTAGAGGAAGGACTTATTTAAAATTGGGGACACCGCCCAATACCGCCGTCCTCTCGACGCAGTTTTAGCGTGAAGAACACACGTTAAGATAAAAATCACATACTCGTGGACAACTAAAAAACTGTTTGAGTGTATTCGAAGTTGTTAACTCGATCGAGCACTAAGAAACGCCAATTACAAATATATGAAAGGTAACAAGTCTTCCCTCATTTTTTGTTTGCTTCTTTTATTGCTTAATTCTACTGCTTTCGCTTACCTTATTACAATGAGGTACCGACTAGCATTACTTCCAGGTAAACCATTTGGCTTCCAGCTCCCTATTTGAAGTGGAGAGATCTAATCTTTCCATATTTGATTACAATTATTTTATACTATCACAGAAACGCAATTAGATCTAGCGTGCGTTTATTATATTTTCACTACCGCGATACAAATGAGGACTACGCAGACAGTGGAGCTTTTAAACCATACCGACGAATACAATTTCAAAATATAAACTTAAAGCGATATTTAATGAAAACTTAGATTATAATAAAACCTGGAGAAGAACAAATAAAAGTAGTTAACCTCCTCAGTATATCAAATACTAATAAATTCACCTATAACGATGGAAGTACAATACAATGATAACCTTACAGAAATTGTTGACCCATTAAGCAAGAACGATAATGATGAAAAATATGAAAAAATGCGTACCAATTTTTTAATTTCACGGACAGTATTAAACGAAGAAATAATTTAAATTAAAACATCAACTCACTCTGACATGAATAAGCTAAAAACAATTAAATATTTATTTGCGAATTCTTAATTAATTTCAAAGAGGTAAAACACACCAACGACAGAATATACAGTACTTGCCGACAGCCAGAAAGGAACTTAAAACATAGGATTTATTATAATTTCTCTTTTTGTTAAAAGTTAGGCCTTTGGTAATTAATAAAGTAAGAAGAACTGCACAAACTGGCGTATTAACCTAAAGGATCTAGTGCAATCCCTTTTTTTTTTAAGTATTTTTTGCACTCTTTAAATTAGTTTGCGGAGCGGACTTAAAGCGCTTTTCTTTGTACACTGCTTATAAACCAAAAGGCGTTAGTAAACCTTCTAGAATAGTTACTCTGATTACGCTGAATTTTTCTGATTTACTTTTAGTCTGAAGAGTCAAAGCTAAAATTTGGTGAATAAATGATTGTCCAGTTGAAAACTAACTTTTACGCATTAGACAAAAGTAACAGAAACCAAGGCCCTTTCGGTTTTTTGATAACTTAAGCATCGTGTTCGTAACAATTTTTTGGTTTGCGTGGCTCCTAATGTTTCTATATATTTCAAAACCATGGACGATGTCTTTTTCCCTTTGGTTTAAATAGTAATTAGCCTACATATGCATAAGTTTAACATTGATTAGATAGACGGTACCAGTTTATATAGATTGTAGCAAGTGACTTGATCCCTTCGTAATGCTTTTTTTAAAAACTTTATTTATCAATGAACTTGTTATATGCCCAAACAATTTAGAAACTTATAAACTTACTTTTGTGTTTTTATTGGAAACCAAAGGAAATGATTAATGGTTTCTTTATATTATTTATTAAGAGTCTAGAGCAATTACATTAAAAAATTTATTTGTACGGGCCTGTGACACAGATAAGGGTTAGGTTTTATAATTTTATCCATTAAATTAAACCTAAACCCTCCTAACTAATGAAACTTCGCCTATAAACTGGGATGATAAGCTTTTAAAGATTATTCTTAAACTAATAATTTTAACTTCAGAGCGAAATGACGATTCAAGAATAGGTTGTTTATAGTTAGGAAGGATGGCTGATTATAAAGGTCCTCGTAGTATTAATAATCTGCTTCAACAACTTAATATGAAATAGCTCCGTTTTAGTATTAACTGGTTAATCCCAACCCTTCTGCTTACTAGAAACAAAAGGTAATGTCATTAGTAGTTAGATATTCAAGTCCATTCTTAAAAGGAATACTAGAAAGGTTTTATATACAAGCTTAAATCTTTTGAACTGTTAATACATGCCTTTAATACAAGCATTACCGCCTAAAAAAAAAAGACATTAGTTTAGAGAACTAAGACCTGAATAAAAAAGTTTTTTAATTTGATAACAGGAGAGTCCTCCATTCACGTAACCATAGTAAAATTATCAGAGCTTTTTCTAAACTCCTTAAAGAATCTGTTAGGGCCTTTTTTTGATTCTGGACAATATTTAATGTAGAAAGTAGAGTAACAAGATTGAGGGGCAGGTAAACGCTTCCTTGAAAAAAACCCTTGTGAGTGTCTTCAAACTTTTAAGTCAAAAGCAAGGTCTATGTCCTCTACTAAGTAGATTTGATTCAACAGGTCAAATATTTTTTAACATATCAATGTATGAAGGTCTTAGCATTTTTTATTCTCTGGAGACAAGATAGTTAGCCCGTTCTACCAAAAAATAGGTTAGCAAACCATCAAGATGAGGCCCACTAAGTCTTATAGACAGAGGAGGGCCACAATGAATTTTTTACAAGGTTTACTTAGTCCCGTCTGTGCTGTTCGTAGTTCAGCACAATTTACAGGGATACGAGAAGAGTGAAAATCCTTGATCTGGTGTTCAGTTTTATTTTAAGAGTCACAACAACAGAGTTGAATATCTTGCATAGTTTGTCACACAACTCTACAGTAGATGGTGACAGTAAAAAGTCACCCCCAAAATTAGTCACTATACTCAAAGTATTAGCTATGGAAAAAAAAAATTAGAATTGGTAAATTTTTCAACGTACAGGCCACAGTAACAGTGCAACCCCATTACAAAAAAATAAGTAAATTACGAATACGTTATACGAGTGAATGTTTTAAGCGAAAAATTGACTAAACAGAGACAAGCAAAACAGATACTATGAACTGTGCAAACACAAATATTCAAAAAGAAAACACCTAGGACAGCAAATACTCATACACACACAAAAATTTAATAAACAAACGAACCAGTAATACCCTGTATAAGAGCCTCACCTTAAACACAAATGCCCTAAATTAAAAAACTCATCTACATATTTTTTGTGGAATTACGGGGCATATAGAAAAAGCTTGTATACTTAAACAAAAAGAGTTAAAAAACCTTAAGTACAACACGCAACTCTCTGAGGAAAACCACTTCAGAAACGAACACATTGAACTAATCCTCGATACCGCGGCGTATCTTCACTATGTGAACGACAAACAGTTCCTAACTATTGTATCACAGAGGAATAATAAAATTAATACAATAAATGACAACTTTAAAACTTATCACTCCGGCAATCTAGTTATACTAGACAAGGTAGAACCGTACTTAACACACAAATTAACATATGCTAACATCAGCAGGTAATATCAGTAGGTAAGTTAGATGAGCAAGGTTATACTGTTATTTCCTGGAACGACGAAGCAGTTATAAGAAAAAATAAGAAATTTATATTCAGAGCTAAGAAATAAGATGATCTTTACACCACCTTATACACAAGATATCACTATCTTAAAAAGCGCTTCACATTAACAACGAAGAGCATATCATCTACGGACGTAATAGTTATAAAAAACTTAAATGTATGTTCCCTAATATACAATCCTTCACGATTAAACGATAATTAAGTATACATGAAACTTGAAATGCATAAAAAACACACTAAACACTAGGAAGATTCAAACCCGGACAGTTACTTTAGATTCAAACATTAGAATAAAATATACATTCTCCCAAGGTTTACAAACACATCAACGCCGGCACAAACGCAAAATTCAAGTACGTAGCTATATCCACAAGGACAAAAGACGAAATCAAAAATAAGTTAATCGAAGGACCGGAAACCACAATTATTATTTTAAAACTAAAGCTTAACTTAATACAATAAATGAGACTCTCAAACAGAAAAGTAATTATTATAATTACCGTAATAAAGACGCCACAACACATGCTTAGCCAGAGAAGCATACCACGCCACGTAACAAGACCCCGATTCCAGTTTTCAACTGTCCAATCTGCATGCAGAATACGGGAGTGGAGCTAACGGAGATTCAGTACAAACAACTTCCATAAAGGTATAAAACGCAAACTCCTCACGAAATATATGGCACAAAAAAACAATCAGATCTAAGAAAGTACAAATCTCTGGGTTGCAGCGCACTAATACATAACTCTGAGCAACCTATATATCAGAAGGCCGGGCTTTTGAGGAGGTACTCCTATCAAAACCAATGGACTCTACAGAAGATGAACGCACATACTAAAACTTAAACAATTCATGAAATTAGATCGAAATAAAGTCATTTTTTAATGACACCTTTCCATTTAACAAAAATAAAATAGATCAAAACATATCCTCAATGAATCAATGTACTAAAAAGCGAAACGTCCAGAACAAAATGTACCAACATAAACCTGTGTATACCTATTATTGAAGAAACGCAAACTAAAAAAAGACTTTTCAGAGAAACACCGCAGGAGAACCGACAAAAAAGCAACCTGACGAAGACATTATTTTAGAGAAACTGATAGTAAAAAATACTTTTATTCTCCCTAAAGCTAAGACGATATCAGAATTTAAAAAAATATAAAATAATCAAGAATAGCAGAATGAATAACAGGAAATTACTACTAAATGTATAATACAAACCAAACTAAACAAAAAATTACCACTCCCCTAACATAAGAAATGAAAAAATTATTAAACAAAACAAACCTTTAAGATAAACACGAAGAAACAGATTGTTCCAGCGAAAGAACCTAAACACAGTAATCGCCTTGCCAACTGGACATAAAGAGAGAAGAAAACCAGGTATAGCTATTTAATAGAGACCATTATAAATATGAACAGCAACAAAAATTACGTTGAAGGCAACACGCAAAACCTTACCAACATAAGACAATATACATTTCAAACGTCATAACTGGAGTGCTTTAAGCAAACAAGTAAACAATAAACAATTTCAAATCATATTAAAGACATTTTAATGTAACTAATATAAAAGGAACTAATGATCCTACTCACTTTAATGAAAACAATAACATTTTAATAAACTCAGATAGAAAATTAACGTACGAACTCACAGACCTTCTAATAAACGAGAAGAATTTAAAACCAAAAACACAAGCAGCAAATGTTAAACAATTTATTGGAATCGAATTATGAAACAAACAAACAAATCAAAAGCAATTGAAATATTACCTACCATTACTTATTTAACACTCAAAGAAGCCAAAATCGCAGACAACGAGACAGATTACAAGCCGCCCAAAATGATTTAACCTCCATACTTCAACACAAAGTATTTATAATACAAAGAACCACGGACATACCTAAGCATAAAATTATTAATACTATATTATGGAAACTATACATTAAAAGTTAAAATTTATACAAAGCAAGTTTGACTGCTAGAGAATTTCAGCAGACCCAAGAAATAGACTATGAGTAAACTTATTCACCAGTGCTATCCTAGGACCCCTTATGATTACTACTAGCAAATATCAGAGGTTTACCAGTCAGGGCTGTTGATATTACAACAGCCTTTCTACACATAAACCTTTCCAAGTCGGTTTTCGTTTGTATATCTTAAGGACTCTACTTAATTAAGGATTACCTTGACGATAAACAGCGAAAACTACTAAGTTAGCTTTACGGAAAGAACACAAAGCGCGTTTTAAGACTCAGCTCGTCTTCTTAAAAGGAATTTATAGGAAATTTAGAATACAAAGTAAAATTGACGAACGTATATTTTACTAAATTGGAAAACATTGTGGTATAGACGTTAAAGTGGAAATCATAATTGATAGTCTTCTAAAAAACAACATAACAAAAGAATATAACATTAAAGATGACTTTGACACTTAAACTATACTCGAAATAATAATTTACCTTTAACAGAATAAAACTTTAAATAAATAATAAAAACTAAGTGAACAACTAACTCAATTATACAGCATAGATACCAACAAGAAATACAAAATTCCACAACCCACTAGGGTAAGTTACAACCAACATCAAGAAAAAAAATTATATAAACTAGGAATACTACAAACTCATCGACTTTAAAAAATTTAGCAGATAGCACAGGACCGGATATTTAGTATACCGCAACTATAATTGGGAGATTCGTGCGCAACAACAACGATGAACACCTAATAGTGACCAAAAAAAAGTCCTTGGTCACTTAATCTAAGCAAGAATACATTTTGAACCTTAAACAGCCCAAAAACTTTGACGGATGTACCTTAGTTGAAAGCTAAACAGAAGCCTCATGGGCAGACAACAATGACTTCCGTACACCAGGGAACACAGTTATTCACGTCAACAAATGTAGTCTTATACACGGGAATCAAACAAAGACAAAAGCTAAGCATACAAATCTTCATGCAAGGTAGCTTACAAGGCGTTAAAAGGTGAAAGTGGTTTTCGTTAACGGAAGTGAGATATCTTCGCTCTTTAAACCATAAAATTCAAGTAGAAACTCTATTTCTTTAGAAGGATTTCCATTAACTTACCCATGCTTGCAAATACACTCGGTTATATTGAAGCTATGAGAAAAACTTTACACAGCTATGCTAACACGGATGTATTAGGATTCACTTAGCCAAAGACATTACGAACTCGTTTTAAGGTAAAACCTTAAGTAAAAGACCCTTTTCAAGATTTGAAATCAGTTCAACAACGTCCAGTCTATTTAAGGATAAATTTTTAATCCTATCTCTCTCGATGGAACGAACAAACTCGTCTTTATGATAAAAGACAAGATACTGCAGAAACGGTATTAGGGTACATAATGAATAATAGTTCCTTTGCTATAGCTACGTTAGAATTAGTAAGAGAATACTACCACGCTGTACCTTGCTCATGGTTATAGAGATAGAAAGATCCCCCAGGGAAAGCACTATAAAAGAAGTAAATGGAAACAAACCTCTATGAAACAGTAATAAAGCTCTATCAGGGGTTCAAGGAAGCGATGCAAGGCAATAAATTGGCAGATGCTGTCCATTTTCTTAACCAAGCTTGACTAACTTTAAAATGAAAAGACTCTAGGCCTTTTAAGAGTAATTTTTTTAAGCAAATACTTAATGAAAGAAAGAAACCTAGTCTTCCTTTTTTTATGCTAAAAACATTTTCTTCAAATATGTGGCAATTTTCTCAAAATCTTGAACGACATTAGAATCAGTTCCATTCGCCCAAAATGGGATTAGAAGCAGAAATTATATGCACCTGTTAAGCTCTCTTTTCGTAGACTATAAAAACATTAATACAACAACGTTGCTTAGCGAGCCAATATATTTTAGGCTGGCTTAAGTGGATTCGGGCCTTATCCAGATCGGTTCTTATTAACTGAGCTCCTGATTACTGCTTATCGTGGAACGAGATTTTATTTTGCAGATTTACCTACATTGTTGGGGTTTTTGCGATATAGTATAGCATCATGTGCCTCTTACTTAGGATAAACAAGTTTCCAAGGGAGAGTCTTTTTAGATAAGTACACTTCAGGCGAGCTATGTCTTTTTACCATAAGACTAGGATTTAAAACCCAAAGCCGTTGACCTTGTCCACCTTTTATTTATTCTTATTTCGGGCTAACTTATTCCTATTCTCCTGTTAAAGTTTCCGAACTGGGAGAAACCTTTATAAATTAATCTGACCTAGGAACTCGCTTAGAATCCTTATTAAAATTCAATTCTAGAAGTCGAGATAACAACCTGGAGCCTATATGAATTGAAATTACCGGAAAAAGGAAAATTTTTCTAAACACCCCTGAGCTAAAGCCAAAAAACCAGTAAAAAATTATAAAATTAATATGGACTTACCTATAAATACGCCTCAATCAACTTTCACCTGAACAGATTTAGCATTTTACTATAATCACATTTCTAAAAAAGGATCGACTGATAAACCTTATCTAGATCCGTGCGTAAGCACCAGACATGTATCTCACCGTGTGGAATAAATGAAAAAGTCGGTAATAACAGCAAAACATAAATTTTTACTAGTAAATAACTTATTCCATATTAGATTTAGTAATATTTAATGAAGAAAATTTTAAAATCAAAAAAGGGTTCCTTTCCTTACTACAAATATTAAAAATTTTATTCCCCAGATAGATACCCAACAAAAAATATAAATTCTTAACAAAAGCTTTTTCGAAGTCTTCGCCGAAAGAGGAAAGCTGGTTACCTTCTAAATTTCTGTAGAATAAAAAAGGAATGGAAAATTTCTTATCGATGCAACACTGAAAACAAACTATAGTACCTTTGCTTGGGTTTCATAGAGATCCGGCTGATCTTTATACTAAGTATCGTTGTCTTCTTCTAAGTTACTCAGGAGGGGACTATAATCCAAAGCTATCCTAAAACTCACCAGAACAATTCTAGTGTCCTTTACGGGGTACAGCTCAGTTTAATGACACTATTTTATATATAATTAAACTATTGAAAATACATGTATATGAGATACGCGATTTTACGCTCGTCTCTATGAACAACCTTTTATGTGATCACAGTACTTCTATCTTAGCTTAGTGCGGGTGTGCTCGGCGCGCTGCGACCACAGCGATGTTGGCTAATTGGGTCCTCATTTAAAGCTTCCTTAGCTGCCTAGGTGCTACATAGCGTATTGTGATGCTGATGGTTTATACCTTGAGGACCTCGCGATAGTTTGGTACCCATTTTAGTAAAGTAAAGCAAAAGTAAGCGTATTTATCCTAGGCTACTATCGTAAAGAGTCCGAAAAAGATCGGACTATAAATAAATCCAAGCTTTAGCACGGTAGTTTCAGCGACTGCATGGAGGGGCCCTGGCACTACCTGCTTTCATGGTCTTGTTCCAACACAAAACAGGAGGAGTAGTTTCTACGTATAAAGTAGGAACTAACAAACATTGTACTAGTTAACAACCCTCTCCTTTTCTTAAGGTCTTTTGTGTCCAGCTAAAACATCAACTGTGCTTTAGTTTGCTTCATTTAAGAAAAGCACTACAAATCAAGCTTTTGTGGTTATGGTTCTTGCGCTTTGAATGAAGGATTCCGTGTTAACTTAGATCTAGGAGAGCTTAAAATTGTCTAGTGGCCGGGTCGAAAGACCTGTTCTTAATAATGGAATGGTATAACCGGAAGTAAACAGTGGACCTTTGTTGGGCTCTACCTATGGTCTTTACAGGTAGTTTTATGGCTACAGTTTAGAGTTGTATTCTGTAAGGACGCCGGTGGGGAATTGTTCCTCTGCTATTGATTATATACTAGTTTATGCTGTCTACTAAATCGTATTCTTCTTGGACAACAGCTAGTTAGTTCTTTTGACTTTGGGGAGTACTAGGCTAAGTTAGGCAAATCTGTGTATTATTTTGTTAATAGTTTTGCGGTAAAAGCGAGGAATGTGGCCCTTACATCAGTCCAGTTAAGAGGCTTGCATAAGGAGTGACACAGCAAGCAATGCTATTTGCAGCGATTCTAAATGCTTCCGAACTAACTTGACAGTGATTCTAAAATATTAATGCTATCTTACTATATTTGAGAGGTGCTCTCGGAGTTGGAGAGATTAAGCTTAGTTTTGACTAAAACTTCCTGGGCGTCTCGTTATGGCTATCTGAAGAGTACTTACTTCTTATATATGGTAGCTTCTTAGTATAGTACAGGTAAATAATAGTAGTATATAGTGTGGTTTCCTAGTAAATATATATAAAAGTCATTAGCCACCTTCCGCGTAGAGGTTTGTTAAGTTTTATAACTTTTTGTTGGTAAGCCTTAATACAATAATTTAAAGAATCAATTTTTTATTAACATAGGCCTTCAAAAGCCAAACTGCAATGGTGATATGCTGCCCTAATTAAATGAGTAAAAGTTAAGCAAAGCTGCGGGGCGCAAAAACCTTATAATGATAATTTTCCTTTGATAAAACCGTTTACCGGTTATGGCATTCACTCCACGAATTTTTTGTACTAAATTTTTATTTCCTTAGCATTTTTTTTTAATTTTTTTAGCGTGTTGTTTATAAAAATTGTGTAAGGGTTTAAAAAAAATAATAAAATTTAAATTTCACACACGTATATGAGATAAAATTCCACTAAGCTAATTTTTTAAAAAAGCAACACCTAAAAATTATATATATATAATCTTCTATAAATGTATGAAGTTAGCTATAGGCATGAGACTCGTCAGAAAAAAATTTTAACAACCTGCTAATAACTCGTTTGTTTGCAATATTTGAAGCTTTTTCAAATAAGGTCTTCCAAATTATATTTGGGTATTCAATTCAAATAAACTAAAAGGGGGCTAAGGGAATTCATAAAGCTACGTAGAAGGTCGGGTTCGTAAGAGTGTTAAAGGATTTTCTTATAGTGCCCGTGTCTTCTCATCTATTCGTTTTATCTAAAGCCCAAGTAATTAAGGAAATACATCTTTAGAGAGAACTAAAAAAGCGCTCCAAAAAATAATAAAAAGAAATGAGGTTGTTATCAAAACAAATCATATGAAACTAATAGTTAACTAATTTTAAAGCTACTCGTAAAAGACTAAAAATCCTTAGTGATTCCGAACTAACGTGTAGGCACTTCTATTATAATAAAATTTTTAGGAGAAAAAGGAATCAAAGTAGCTAGTAAAAAAAAAAATTATTTGCCTAAAAACTTTTTTTACTATTATATAGTATACTTATTAACTTCCTTTAAAATAAACCAGTTCCAAGACTTGAAATATCTCTTTGAATTTAACAAAATTTACAAAAGCTTTTTTTTAAGAAAATATTTGGAGTTAAGTTCCTCTATAAAGATCGTTTAACTTTCCTCTCCAAGGCCTTATATCACAAAAAAGAACAGGGAAATTTTAATAAAACTCCGTCTGAAAAGAGCGAGAGTATTGCCATAACGCAACTTAGGAACCGCTCTTCAACTATAGCGTTATCGTCTTGAAAATGGCAAAGAAATAAAAACAATACATTTAGTAAGTTACAATCAACATTTTGGTAATACTATTTTGGCAAAACGTACATAGGCACCTAAAAAACTCTGCATAGACTACAGATTCTTTACTAAAAAAAATGGGTACTGTAGGTGCTTATCATATGTGGTAATAAAAATATCCTTCTTTTTCATTTACACGATAGTTATCACTAATTACTTATTGAAAGTTGAATGAACGAAGTTACATTATAAATTGCTCTGAAAGAGGTTAGCATGCAGAAAATTAATGGCCACTACTAAAATTTTTTTTTGTCTACAAAAGCTTTATGCGTGAAGCAGATCTCTTATTGGCTCCCTACGTCTCTGTGTTGATTTTTAAGTGAGGCGTTATTATTGGTGATATGCGGTTCCATATCCTTTACAAAAGGCTCACTTTATAAATTAATAGTTTTAGTAAATAGACTAGTATTAAATATTTTTAGGAGTTAAACAGTAATACTTATAATATCAGTAAAAAATATTCTTAATTAAATAAGAGATTGCAAGTATATCCTCCTCAATGGTACAAACAAAACGAAGTACTTATAACAATATTATAAATTTTCTTTTAAATTTTTACGCTTAAACCTTTTCTTATTTCCCTGTACGA